TAATATCCCTCCCACCCCCATCCCCCCATCCCCCCTGTCTCTGTGGCAGGGCAATCCCCTGTGTTCTCTCTCTCGTTTTGGGTGTTGTGGTCTGCAAAAGAGGCATTGAGTGGCAAACATGTTCAGTCCATAGTCTACTTTCGACATGCATCTCCCCTCCTGGGAGGATCCTCCAAACATCCTTTATTTGGTGCTCCCTTCTCTATCTGAACTGCCCTTTCCTCTAGGATACCCGGCTGGCCTCTAAGTTATGGAGTAATCCTGCTGGTGCTGATCTCAGCTATTCTTGGGTATTAATCTCATACTTTGGCTATGAACTCCCTCTTACAATAGCTTTGACTGTATCCCGCATGTTCTGGTATTGTTCTGGTTTCTTTTAATTTCCTCTTTGACCCACTGATTGTTCAGTAGTAGATTGTTTAGTTTCCAAGTGTTTGTGTTTTTTGTTAATTTTTAGCTTTCTGATTTTGTTTACTTTCCACTTTCAAGGCATTGTGTTCTGAGGAGAATCTTTATGTGATTTGTGACTTGATGTGATGGAGACCTGTTTTGTATCCCAGATTGTAATCTATCTTGGAGAATGTCCCATGTGCATTGGGGAACAATGCACAGTTGGTGTTTTGGAAATGGAGCACTTTGCCTATGTCTTATTAGTTCCAACTCTTCCATGTCTTCCTCTAAAGCCAATGTTTCATTACTGATTATTTTGGCCTTGTTTGATGTATCCTGTGGTAAGAGGTGGGTGTTCAAGTCTCTTCCTATTATTATGTTGCTGATCATATCTTTTCTCAGCTTTATTATTAGCTCCTTTATAAATTTTGATTGTCTTTCAGTAGGTGCATACAAGATATTGAGTACTCAGTCATCTTGATGTATAGATCCCTTGATCACTGAGTTATCTCCATCCATACCCCTTATAACTTTTATTTTTTTCTTTGAACCCATGTTTATTGTGACTGTTTGGGTAATGTATTTGTGTAAGCAGAAGGTAGTTGGTTGGGTTCAGTTTTCTATTCCTTCAAGCCAATCTCTGCCTTTTGATTGGTGGCTTTAGGCCACTGCCTTTAAGTGAGATTATTGAAATTAAGCGGTAGTATTAGCATCATTTTGAATGGATTATAAATACTAATGAAGTTTGTCTCTTTTTTTAAGGAACCTATTTCATGATTCCTGAAAAGCTGGTCTAGTGGCCATGAGCTTCTTGAGCTATTGTTTGTAAAGTTCTGTGGCATTCTTTCAAAGTGCAGTGGTAGCCCAGCTGGATGGAGTATTCTTCTTGATGGGTTTATTTCATCCAACTTCTTTGTTCTGGCCTGTAGAAGTTAATTTGATAGATCTGCTGCACATCTTATTTTCCTTCCCATGTAAGTTTCTTCTTTGGTCTTGCTGCTCTGTGGATTCTATCTGTACCTTTGGTATTTACCATTTTAATTATATTGCGTTTTAGAGTTCTTCATTCAGTTTTATTTTATTTGGTACTCTCAATCTTCCGATTGGGAGATTTTTCAACTAAAATTTCTTTGACAGGTCTTTTCCCATTCATTCCTTTCCCTTGGGGACTCCTATAAATTCCCTGGAACTTGTCCCATAATTCTCTGATACTACGTTCCTTTCTTTTCACTCTTTTTCCCTTCTTTGTTGATGGCTTTCTGTAGTTTATCTTCCAGCACACTGTTTCGCTCTTTGGCTTCCATCACTTTGCTGCTATTGCCTTCGAGTGAGTATTTTAGTTTACCTACCATGCTCTTCCGTTTGGTGACTTCTGATTGCTGCTTTATCCTCTCTTCCCCCCTCTCTGTTGAAGGTTTCTTCTGTTGTTGACTCAAGGTCATTAAATAACTTTACCAGTGACCCTTTCTTACCGTTTTATTTTTTTTTTTTTGTTTTTTCGCCCATGCCTTCTTGTGGCCAGAGCTTAGTCCTACCTCTGTTGTCAGGGAATGCTCCTCATGGTGCTCAAGGGACCATATCTGGTTGTTGGAGATCTAACCAGGATAAGCTGTGTGCAAGTAAGCACCCTGACTCCTGCACTAACTCTCCAACCTCTTTATTTTAATTGTGGAGTTTTTTTTTTGTGAAGAGGGGGTTTGGGCCATGCCTTTTGTTCAGTGGCTGCTTCTGATTCTGTGCTCAGGGATCACTCATGACTGCTTAGGGGACCATATACAGTGGTGAGAATCACACTAGGGCCAACTGCATGTAAAACAAGCACCGTATCTTGGGCCCCATTATTGCCCAAGTCATGATCTGAAAGATGGTAAAGTTCTTGGGTGCTCAAGGATTTTGCTAGGCTTTGTGTCTCCCCTTTAGTTTTGGCAGGCTTCTCTGCTTCTTCAGAGTCTGCTATGCTGTGAGGGATAAGGTGAGGGTTTGCTTTTGTGCAGGCTTGGTTACAATCTGAGGTTAACAGTCACCATTCCCCATGTGCAGCTGAGTTTACGATAGATCCAGCTGAGACTTTACAGTACAAACCCACACTCTCCCTATCTTAATAGTTTCCAGTGTCTTACCCTGTCCCTGTTGCTTCAAACCTTGAGTTTGGGCCTAAGCACAACACAGAACCAGCCTTCTTTTTTTTCCTGAACCCAGACTTCTCTGAGCCTGAGTGAGTGGCTGTACTTACCCATGTGCACCATGGGGGAAGTGACATTCTTTATTGTTAACACTGCAGGGTTTCTTTGCCTGTCACCTCAGCCTGGAATATTGGCATGTAGCCTTTCCTGCCTCATGGATACATGCTCTCCATGTATTTGCTGGCTGTGTCCCTGTCCAACCTCAGAAAAGCCCCCTTTCAGATTTTGTGCAGGTGAAAAGATATTAGGCTTTAGGTGAATTTTCAGCATACTGCCTCTTTCCCTGAATGCCTGATCAATCCCTTCGTCAGCTTCACCCCTTCCCTAACTGTGCCTGGATCCTATGCTTTACTTTTCGTTGAAGGAGGTTTAATGGCATACATACTAGTTCCAGGGAAGGTATTTATTTAGGGGGCTGTGGCACAGGTAACAGATAGCTCTCTCCTTTGTTCCTGTCTGAAGAAGGGCTGATGTTGCCCTCAGTTAGGCACGAAACAGGGAAGGGCTGGTTTTGGGCCCACTCCTCAAAGTAGCACAGATGGTTGGATGGTATAAGTGCTACTCTGAGATGTTTGTGTAGGGGCAGTTTGACACTCATCCAACTGCAGGTGGACAGGTGGTACCCATACCCAACACCTGTGTTTGGCTTTGTTTAGCAAAAGTCACATTGCCAAATCACCTAATCTGTCTGCCACTTTACCACCCTGGCTTGTTTTTAACTCACTTTTCAAGCTCCCTGTCATACCCCAACCCTGTTTTCAGCCAGTGCTTGGCACCAGTTAGCTTGATACCTTGCCCTGGGAAAAGTGTAGGTTGAGGAAATCTCTCCATGCTTTGCCTCTCCCTCCTTGACAATATGGACTGTAACTGTGATTTTGGTGGCTTTCTGTCCGCTTTTCATGGCCAGAGAAGTTTGCTGGTCACTCTTGCCTACTCTAAGTGGGATCCTTTGCAAACTTCTGCGTTCAGTTCTATGTTTTCTTTCTTTTCTGCAGTTTGTGAATTGGAGATCTCTCTTTTCACTGCCAACTTCACCCTCTTGACCATAACTTTCTTCTATGTGTAGACTTAAAAAATAAATAACACTTTGCCCTTAATATCCATATGTTCCGTGGGTTCAACAGTGGATGTCGGTTGGATGAATCGATGGATGTGAACCCACTAATTTTGTGGACTGACAGTAAAAGCCTTGAACTAGCAAAGAATTAGGAATCCACAGGGGTCCCAAAAGCAGTCCCCGATCTCACCCTGACACATATTCTCATATACCGAAGAATTATTGTAGTCAAGGTTTTGGAGAATCAATGTTATTATGTGGATTTCTGACTTAATTTTTTTAAATGAGGTTATTTTTGGGGGGACACACCTGGTGGTGCCCAGGGCTTACTCCTGACTCTGTGCTCAGTGGTCACTCCTGGCACTGTTTGGGGGGGTCATGTGTGCACCAGATTGGTTGTGTACAAGGCAAGTGCCCTGCCTGCTGTACTATTACTACAGCCCAAAATTAAAAATAAATTTAATGGGTTTCTCTCTGGTGACGAAAGTGCTCTTGTCTGTCAGCTTTAATATTCTTCCTCTACTACCATATATATGGGAGTGAATTTATCATTAAAAGATTTTTTATAGAATTAAGGAGAATTCAGTGAAAGGAGACTTTCATCCAGGCCACAGTAAACCTGATCATTTCATTTCTCAAAGGAGGTTTATTTCTTTGGAGATACTGTTTGTATTTATTAGATTGTTTCTAGGCTGATTTATTTCTTCTCAGTGTTCCTATAGGATATGATACAATTTATTAGATTTTTATTCTTCTCAAGTTACTCCCAGCTTATATATTTATAGTCTCTTGGTTTACTATGTAACATAAAGCTACTCAGATTCATAATATGTGAATTTTACCCTGTATTTTTTTTTGCTCTGAACTCAGGAATTATTCCTGGCAGTGCTCTGGGGACCATATGGGATGCCAGGGATTGAACCCAAGTCAGCCTCGTACAAGGCAAACCCCTTATTTACTATACTATCACTCTGGCCCCTACACTGTATTTTTTCACTTTTCCACTGTTGCCTCCACATAAAAATTATAGTCTACAGGAGGCAGAGTGATAGTACAGTGAGTAGGTTGTTCGTCTTGCATGAGCCAACCTGGGTTCGATCCCAGGCACCCCACCTGAACCCCCGAACACTGCCAGGAGTCACCCTGAGCACAGAGTTAGGTGTAAGCCCTGAGCACTGCCAACATTTTTTCCTCCGCAAAAAAGTTACAATCTACAGTATGAGTTGCTAGCACACATGAGAACCATAGCTTGTTTATATTTGTCATTTATTCATCACTTTAGGGTAATGGTAATTATTCTTTGTGTAGTTCTTTTACTGTCGTACACCAAGGTGCTTATGTTTAATATTATATTTAATACTCTGTTCTAGCATGTCTTTCGTACAAGGTGAATAATTATGGAAATGAAAAAGAGTTTACCGACTTCCTGGACACTATCCTCAAGGCAGAATGCTTCCTTCAAGTAAGATTCCACTCAATTTCCTACACACTTTATCACTTTAATGAACATTAATTCAGATATCCATTGAAAACCTTTTTCTTTAGCTCTTTTATCTTCTGGCAGGAATATTTATTCAGGAACTCATTACAAATACACCTGAGTTGAAATCATTTTTATCTTTATATTATTGGATTTGAAAAAAGAATTTGTAAAATTTTGCAAATAAGAGAGGAGAAAACAGATAACTTTTGTGGTGCTGGTAATCAAATTCAGGGCCTCACACATGCAAGACAACTATCTACAACTGAACCATAGCCCCAACCCAAAACATATAATTAAAGAGAATAGACTCAATCATGGAATTGAATGCATTAAATTACTTGAATTTGCCAGTAAAGAGATCTTGCAGGGTCACTACTTATATTCTTATACTCAGCAAACATTTTTGAATGATCAGTATATTTCAGCTATTTAATAACTTGTTCTGGGTAACTTTGAGTTGTATTTTAAATTGCAGTTCAGGTATGTGCACTGTAAAAAGCCCTTATGACTAGTGTGGGTTGAATATTTGATCTCTGCTCTGAGATAAGCCCAAATTTCTTTGAGTTTATCTGTATCATGGCATTTCCAGTTTGTTTCCTACGTGTTATGAGCTTCCAGTAGTCTTGTCTACTGAAACCTTAGATGAGCCTATTGGAAACTTATCTAAATTTTTTTCATGTATAGGTGTTCAGCTTGGTACCTAGTATACAGTAAATGCTCAAGAAATTGATGTGTAATACCATGGAATTGTATATAGGGAGTGGATGATGGTTGTGATGATAAAGGGACGAATTAAGTTCACTTTTAGGTTTCCTGTTTGGGAGGATGCTAATGACATTCAATGAGAAACAGAATATAAGTTTGGAAGGAAATATATATCTCACTTAAAAGTTGCCTGTGGGATGTCTAAGAGGTGATATCCAGTAGATGGTTAGATAATGAGACTAGACCTCAGACATGAAATTTAGGATAGAGAACCAGATGCTTCATAAGATGGTGTTGCTTTTACCTACATTCTGAATGAGATTATCCAGAGTACATTTCATGTAAAAGTCTAGAATAGAGCCCATATGCACACTAGTATTTAAGGGTCAGGATGATAAATAGGTAATCCTGAATGCTCACTTTGGTGGAAATATATCTGGCCTCTTAATTATTAAATATTCAGCTTAAATATTCAGGCCTCTCCGTATGGAGCCATCCAGAGTTTGGGATTTTTGTCTATGAACTCCAATGAAATGCCAGCCTTATTGTATGACATTGTTCATATTTTATTGATTCTAAAGCTGCAAAATAATACAATCATCATTTATCTGTCAGAAAAATTCTACAGCATGAATGCTTACCTTCTTTCCAACTGATCAAATTTTATGGTATTTGAAAACTGTTTATAAAGGTGGTAATGTATCCAGATATGAATAAACTAATTCTATTTTTTATGAGGAAATATGACATGCAACACAAAGATCATAGAAAATAGTCTTAAGTATAAAACAATTGTAATACAAAATAAACTGGTTGTTTAGAGTATAATTATGACCAAAGAGTTCGCTATAAGGTTTGCTGTTTACTTATGTTCCAGGAAGGGTTTTGTTCTTGTGAAACTTTCCTGTATAAGAACCTGCCTCTCTGGGATGGTCTCTATTGTCAATCACAGTTCCTTCAACTTATAAGCTGGACTCCTTTCAGTAACTTCTCTGGTATGTAGTATGAAAATTTCAAGTCATTTGATTCAGTATAATATTAACTAAAAATTTTGAATAATCTTTTATTCTTAAATCCTAGAGCTGAAACCACTTATTTTTGACCATCTAGCACAGATCTTCTTTACATCATCCATTTGTGTCAAGGTAAAAATAAGACTTTCATACTTAAATTAAGTTTTATTCAATAATTAGTAGTGTAGGATTCCATGGTCACTTTAACTCAGTAGACATGGATTTTTGAGATGCTTCAGCACTCACAGTCAATGCATAAAATTTTTTGTTTGTAAGGTTTTCTTGAAATATTCCCAAAGTGTTTCCACTTAAACTATGATGCTAAAGTCAATGAGCAAGTAACAATCGAGTGTTTATAAAAATAAACAGAAATAGGAATCATACATAGTTTGCTTGTTGTGGTTTATATTTTTGTAGATACACTTATGATTTCACAAGTATCTTTTGAGAACCCCTGTGTGCTAAACATCTTTGGTACTGGGAATGCTTACTGAACAAAGCAAACAAAATTCACTATGATACCCATTTTACTTACAGCGTACTCTTTTTTATTAATAAAATTATTCTTATCTCTTATAGTAAAATTAGGTGTTAATCTTATGGGAAAATCACTGTGACTTCTAGAAATTCTTTCTGAGTCTTTCTTTGCTTTCTTATAGAATGGTTAGAAATTCTGGGATTTTTTTCCCCTTTCTTATAGAATGGTTATTCCTATTCTAAGAGTAATATGGAAAATGTTTATTTTATATTATTTTCACCTTAAAGCATTCACTTTTGGCCACATGGACAATATATATATATGTGTGTGTGTTTTTTGTAATCAAATGGCACTTCATTAATTACCTATCACTTCCCAGTTCATTTCTATTATTTGTAACTTACTGCCTGACCAATAATGTTTTTACACCACTTCTCCCCAGCTAACAAAATTTCAAGCATCTCATTTTGCAACTTTTTTTGATTCTCTCCCAGTCTTACAATTGGGTTATTCTTTTTGTTTTTGTCTTTGGGTGACACCTAGCTGTACTTAGGGCTTACTCCTGGCTCTATGCTCAAGAATCACTCCTAGTAGTGCTCAGGGGACCATATGTGGTGGTGCCAGGGATTGATGTTGGGTCATCAGTGCGCAAAGCAAGCACCCTACCAGCTATACTATATCTCCAACCCACAATTTGATTATTGTTTGTTGCTTCTCATTTCATCAATCTAACAACGGGAGGGCCTTTACCTTTACCTAAAGTCATGTGAAATGGCTGTTTTTGTAGATTAGAAATATTTAATGATTGCCAGTTTCATACGGTCCAGCATAATAAGTACATATAATTGATGCATATATGTTTATATTTGAGAGTGGGGAGAGGAAGGGAAACAAACAGTAGGAACCCAGGGTAGCACTATAGCACTGTCCTCCGGTTGTTCATTGATTTGCTCAAGCGGGCACCAGTAATGTCTCCATTGTGAGACTTGTTGTTACTGTTTTTGCCATATCGAATATGCCACAGGGAGCTTGCCAGGCTCTGCCATGCGAACAGAATACTCCCAGTAGCTTGCCGGGCTCTCCAAGAGGGACAGAGGAATCGAACCCAGGTTGGCCACATGCAAGGCAAATGCCCTGTCCGGTGTGCTATTGTTCCAGCCTAACAACCCAGGGTAATACATAAAATTTAATACTTAATTGAAAAGGAGGACCATCTACAAAAGAACTCTTTCGGGAGGTATGGAAAGAACTAGGAGAAAATTACTGTCGAGGAAACACAAAGAATACACGTGATGAAGAGTGAGGGAATATTGTTGCCAGGAATATGTTTATTTTGAATTCATATTACAAAGGTGTTGGCTAACTTTGTGAGCTGTTTTTAATGAAATATGGAGGTAGAACTAGGTTGTGGATGTTAAGGAATCAATGAAAAGTGAAGACCAGATGGTATAGACATCTGTTTCTAAAGAGCTTGTCTAAAAAGAAGAAGGAGAGATAAAGAGTGAGATAGGTATTGTGAGACATTGAATCAAGAAAAGTTTGTGCTTTTTGTTTTTTACTTTTGTCCTCAGAATAAGTAAAACCTTAGCTTGTTCATAGATAGAATGGAAGGAGCCAGTTGAGAAGGAGAGGTTATAATGTAGGGAAGATGGAGGAAAATTGATGGAACGTGGTTTCAGAAGAAACATGAAGATAGGAAGACTGGTTAGAGGGGTTTGCTTGAATGGATGCTGAAGGATGAAGAGGTTTTACATACCCTCTAAGATTGGGAAGAAATCTGTTACAGATAAGATAGATGGATATGTAGGTGTGCCGTTGGAAGAAAAGGTAAAACACTGACTTTTTTTCTTTTTCTTAAAAGTAAAAAAAAATATAGGGGCTGGAGCAATAGCACAGCGGGTAGGACATTTGCCTTGTACGCAGCTGACCTGGGTTCAGTTCCCAGCATCTCATATGGTCCCCTGAGCACCGTCAGCAGTAATTCCTGAGTGCATGATCCAGGAATAACCCCTGTGCCATGCCGGGTGTGACCCAAAAAATAAAAAATAAATAAAATATTGAATTACTGAATCACAAAAGTTATTCAGGATAGAGTTTTAAGTGACTATTGACTATTCTGACACCAATCTCTTACCCAGTATCTACAAATACTTCTCTCCACCAATGTCCCCAGTTTCTCTCCTGCTCCCCGGGCTGCCTCAATATAGGACGGGAAATATTTTCTTTCCTTTTCCGTTTAGGCACTGTGGTTTACACAACTCTAACTAATAGGATATCATGAATGTCATTTTGCCTCATTTCAGCACTCAGTCCTTGCCCAGAGTGACCACTTCCCTCTGTCATTACCATAGTGGTCCTTTCCTCACCTATCTCCCTTCCGCCCTCCCCCAAGAGCAAGTTTCCTACTGTGGACCAGTTCTCCTGCTCTCATTTCTATTGCCTTTGGGTGAAATGAGTCAGAGGGAGAGGGGCAGACACAGTATGAAATTCTTTTTCTCAGGTTTCTTGTTTTAATTTATTTTAATTTCCCCTCTGTTCTCACCGGGGCCCCTTGGAAAAGGGTGGGTTGAGTTTCCCTCCCCACCCCGAACAGAGCCCCGGCAACTGAAGACCTCCGGTTCCAGCCACAACCATGCTTAAGACCACTCTCCACACGTTCGGACGAGCCTCACGCATGAAGGAACTGCCAGAGGAACTCAGGTGTGAGGGACCCGGGGTGTAGATCTCCAAGCCTGCTCGGATTGGGACTGGGTCCTCCTCTACCCAGATCCTCCATCTTCCAGTATGTAGGTGTTACACCCACCAACTGTCCCTGGCGCCATGTAATCCCATCGATGTCCAAGACCCAGAGACTATAAAATCCTACTCCTAGAAGCACGCAGCCACATTTGCGGCCGCGTGACATCTTATCATTTAGTTCTTATTCTGGAGAACCTGGCAGGCCACCAGAAGTATCCTGCTCACACAGCAGAGTCTGGCAAACTCCCAGTGGTATATTCAATATGCCAAAAAACAGTAACAATGATGGGTCTCTTTCTCTTGACCCTGAAAGAGCCTCGGATCTGGCACTTTTTAAAATCTCAGGGCTAGGACAAAGGAGACGTTACTGGGGCCTGCTCAAGGCAATCGATGAACAACAGGATGACAGTGATACAGTGATTAATTTCCCCTCTCTCCATTATTGTTGATATTGCTGTAATGGGTAGTGGTTGCACACACACCTGGCGGTGATGCTTGTATGTACATTTTTGGCTTCGGTGCTTGCTGAGGATTGAACATTAGGCTGTGTGGTTACTTGCACACTTAGCTTTGACATTCACCAAGTTTTGCATATATTAGTTGCAGTGCTTGCAACTAAATGCTTATTGGAGACCACTCTCTTCAAGTTGAGCCATGTAAATTATGATTGTAGTGCTCACTGAGGGAGGATAGCTGTGGTGCTCACACTTGTGCCGCTCTTCAGAAGTTGTACTTTCTTTTCTGGCTGTGGTGTTTACATTCTTTTTTAAATTGCAGTGCTTACCAGGATTTACACCCCTTTGTGGTACTTAGCCATACCTTGCAGGGGTCATCTGGATTTCCTTGTAGTGCCAGGGATCACAGACATAAAGCTGCTAGGCTCCAACATCAGAGCTTCCAGGATTGCCCTGAACACATGTAGCAATAGTTACTGTCACTGTCACTGTCCTCCCATTGTTCATCGATTTGCTCGAGCGGGCCCAGTAACGTCTCCATTTTGAGACTTGTTACTGTGTTTGGAATATTGAATATACTCTCAGTAGCTTGCCAGGGTCTCTGAGAGGGACGGAGAATCAAACCCAGTTCAGCCAGGCTGACTGCGCACAAGGTAAACGCCCTACTGCTGTGCTATCTCTCCAGCCCTAGCAATAGTGAAGATTTGAATTTATGACCCTGTGCTTGCAAGGCAGGCATTGTATGCCAGGGTGCTCTTCTTCTAGGCCCAAGAAAATGAGTTTGTGCCTAAAAATATATTTATATGCCTAAAATATTCTCAAACTAGGAAGTTTGCTGTGGAGGATAGAATTGGGAGGGGACTTCAGAAGGGATGGTATGGAAAAAAATGGGATGATCTCAGGATGGTCAGTTAATTAGGGTCACTGAGAAAAGTGGGTAAGAAAGTAAGCTGATTGAAAACTAGTAAGAGGATGATTGTGCTTCATTAGCATTTTTACATCTGTCTTGCCATTAGTGTTAATTAAGTCACATTCAGACATGAGCCACAGCGGTATGTGTGGCATTGATATGTCACAGGCTTTTTAGATGAAATTAGAGACTATAAATTTAGAGTGGCGTCATTATCTATACTTGTGCAATTTTTTTCAATTCAAATGTAGGAGCAGAGAAAGTGAGTTAAGAAAGTCAGACAGTTGTGATTTTCTTGGTTGAATGGAGGGCAAGGGAGTGTGGTCTCATCTGAATAGATAAGGAAAGTAAAGAGAAGACTAAAATGCCTGAAAATTGAGGTTGGAAAGAAAAGAACCAAGGAATTGAATGTTTCTGGTGCTGAAGAGGAAAAAAGTGACTGCATCCCAAGTTGAAGGGCTGAGCAAACTAGAAGAGGAGGAAGTAATATCAAAAAAGTTCTATACATTTTGATAGTGGAGACTCAGTTCAGATTTAATTAAAGGAGTGAAGTTGAAATTCTGGTGAATCTTCTTGGACCACCTAAGTGAGATGTAGATGACACTAAGGTCCTCAATGTCTTCAAATTATACTCTGAGGTTCATAGTAGAGAGGAGCAAAGATGACAAGTAAAAGGTAAACAGTTGGGCAGGAAAAACACCAGCTCTTTTACAGGAGAAAGGAGGAACAAGATAGCCTTTATACTGTATTCAGAAAACTTAAGGGTCAAATTCATAAGAAAAACAGTGACAAAATACCATGTGAAGTGGATCTGGAAGGAAAAGGATAAGTTAGATATTTTGAGGCTAAAAATGATAGGATTTGGTTCATCAAGGACAAGGTAATTTCAGGATTTCCAACCTGAGGCTGTAAAGGGAGCAAAGATATTATGCCTGGAGGGGAAAGAAGTCTAGGGTTTTTGGAATTCCTTTATATAGCTGAGGATTGTCCTATGCAAAGAACAGATCTCTGACTGTAGAAGTCAGGATTAGATATGGGGCTGACTCATATAGGCAGATCCAATCCAACGTAGAATAAAGGATCTTAAGCGACAATATCCATCCCAGTAGTGGATGGAGTTGATCAGCCATGGGTGTAATGACTATCTACCAGGATAGGTATATACAGAAGTTTTAGTTAATGAATTAGTTTGCTTATTTGCAGTGCTGAGTATCAAGCTAGGACCTCATAAACACAGGACAATCTCTCTACCACGGAGTTATCTGCCGAGTCATATCCAGGGACTGATAATATGCTTCTCACCCTTTTTGAAAAACCTATGTCTTCCTCTCATAAACATAGAAAAAAAACTTTGTTTAAAGTAAGGGCCATAGATATTATTCTTATATATATATATATTTGTATATTACAAATGAATGCAGTCATTCTATATCTGTTCCTTTCCTTCTGACTCATTTCACTCAGCATGATACTCTCCATGTCCATCCATTTATAGGCAAATTTCATTGCTTCATTTTTGCTGACAGCTGCGTAATATTCCATTGTGTAGATGTGCTGGAGTTCCTTTATCCATTCATCTGTTCTCGGGCACTCAGGTTGTTTCCAGATTCTGGCTATACTCCAATGAACATAGGCGTGCAGACAGTTTTTCTGCTGTGTGTTTTTGGGGACCTAAGGAATATTCCCAGAAGTGCTATTTCTGGGTCAAAAGGGAGCTCAATTTCTAGTTTTTTGAGAAACTTTCATATTGCTTTCCAAAAAGGCTGAACCAGTCAGCATTCCCACCAACAATGAAGGAGAGTCCCTTTCTCCCCACATCCATGCCAACACCGGTTACTTTTTGTACTATTGGATGTGTGCCAGTCTCTGTAGTGTGAGATGATATCTCATTGTTGTTTTGATCTGCATCTCTCTGATGATTAGTGATGAAGAGAATTTTTTTCATGTGCCTTTTGGCCATTCAAATTTCTTCTTTGAGAAAGTTTTTGTTCATTTCATTGCCCTATTTTCTGATGGGATTGAATGTATTCCTTCTTGTAGAGTTCGACGAATGCCTTGTATATCCTTGATACTAACTCCTTATCAGAGGGCATTGGGTGAATACCCTTTTCCATTCTGTAGGCAGTCTTTGTGTCTTTGTCACTGTTTCTTTTGAGGTGCAGAAGCTTCTTAGTTTAAGATAGTTCCATTTCTTTGTCTCATATTCCACTGGCTTGGGCAGTGGTATTTCATCTTTGAAGATATCTTTAGCTTCAGTGTCGTGGAGGGTTTTGCTGACCATTTCTTCAATGTACCTTATGGATTCTGGACTGATGTTGAGGTCTTTAATCGATTTTGATCGGACTCTCTTGCCTGGTGTTAGGTAGCAGTCTGTGCCCATTTTTTTTTTTTGCATGTAGCTGTCCAGTTTTGCCAGCAACATTTGTTAAAGAGACTTTCCTTCCTCCACTTCACATTTTTTGCTCCCTTATCAAAGATTATATGTTCATTTACTTGAGGGTATATGTAAGGATATTCAACCCTGTTCCACTGGTCTGTGGATCTGCTTTTGTTCCAATACCATGCTGTTTTAATTACCACTTTGTTGTACAGTTTGTGGTTAGGGAAGTTGATGCCTCCCATCTTTTTTTCCCAAGAATTAATTGCTTTAGCTATTTGTGGGGGCTTGTTGTTCCATATGAATTTCAGTTTCTTTGAAGAATATCATGGGTATCCTTATAGGGATTACGTTGACTCTGTATCATGCTTTAGGGAATATTGCCATTTTAACAATATTAATTTTCCCAATCCATGAGCAGGGGATGTGTTTCCATTTCCTCGTGTCCTCTTTTATTTCTTTAAGTAGCATTTTGTAGTCTTTGTACAGTTCCTTTACCTCCTTAGTTAAGCTGATTCCAAGTTACTTGATTTTCTGAGGCATGATTGTGAATGGTATTTTTTCTTTTTGGTATTTTTTATATCACTTTCTTCTCTCTCATTATTTGTGTATAGGAAAGCCATGAACTTTTGGGTATTGGTTTTTATAGCCTGTGACTTTACTATTTAAGTCTATTGTTTCTAGGAGTTTCTTGGTAGAGGCTTTAGCGTTCTCTAAGTATATATAGTAGAAAAATAGTATCCGTGGTCAGGGAAAATAGGGGTTAGATCAATGATTGGGACTAATCACAAATGTGCGTGTGGTGAGGGTAGGTAAGATAGAGACCGGTATGACAATAATAGCTGGGAATGATCAGGATGGACAAGAGCTGAGGGATAAAAGTAGGTAACGAATATTCTGGGTAACCTTTCAGTATCTATATTGCAACCCACAGTACCCAAAAGGAGAGAGAGAGAGAGAGAGAGAGAGAGAGAGAGAGAGAGAGAGAGAGAGAGAGAGAGAGAAGAAAATTGTCTGCCATAGAGGCAGGCAGGGGACGGGGGGGGGTGGTGATGGCAGGGAACCTGGGGACACTGGTGCTGGGAAATGTACTTGGTGGAGGGATGGGTGTTGTAATACTGTATGACTAAAATCCAATTATGAAAAGCTTTGAAAAAATAAATAAATCTTTAAAAAATTAAGATATCATATATTTTACAATAAAAAAGTGAGGGCAAGAGGGCCAGAAGGATAGTACAGTTGGTAGTATGTTTGCCTTGCAAGTGGCCAACCAGGATTTGATTCCCAGAGCCCGTATAATTCCCTGAACCCCTGATCAGAAATGATCCCCGAGTGCAGAGCAGGAATAAGCCCTGAGCACTGCCACTTGTGGCCCCAAAGCAAAACAAAGTGAGGGCTAGATGGGATAGAAACATATGGATTTGGAATTAAAGATCAGTCTTTTAAAAATACATTACAGTAATACATAATAGTATTTTAGTGTTAAATTTCCTGGTTAGGGAGCTGGAAGATAGTTTTAGAAGACACCAATGTTACTTCTAACTTACTTATTTTATGACTTGAATTCTAGGTGTCAAGTTTAAAAAGTATTTATTTCTGTGTTCATGAGGTAGCAATAAGTACCCTATCAGTAGAGATATTTAGATGTAGCCAGGTCATTATTTAATTAATTCATTAATTAATTTTTTGCTGCTCTAGTCAATCAAATGGGAACTTTATTGAGGCAGCAGGACCCCAATAAGGCAGCCCTGGGGTGCGGATTGTGAGGGACTTTCCTTGGTTGAGCCTCTTCTTGGGGTGCAGGTTGTTGGTGTGCCCGCACTTCTTCCTGTGGCAGTTGACGTCGCAGGGGTGCAGATGGGTGTAGCACTTTGGGCAGAGCATCTTCTCACAGTTATACTTATGGGCCAGCTGGGTTAATGATGCCCCCACATAGACACAGCACCAGATGTAGGGTGGACTCTTTCTGGATATTGTAGTTCGAGAGCGTGGGGCCATCCTCTAGCTGTTTGCCCGCAAAACTCAGACACTGCTTGTTGGGCAGGATGCCCTCCTTGTCCTGGAATTTGGCTTTGACATTCTCAGTTGTGTCACTGGGCTCCACCTGGAGGGTGATGGTCTTGCCCATCAGGGTCTTCACAAAGATCTACATCTCTGTGTCTTCCGCTCGGCTGCCTCGTTCCAGGCCATTGTTTATTAAGGTGTTTAAGAAACCTCTCCTAGATTAGGTTTTGAGATAATATGTATTATATTAAATTTAGATATGATGATTCATTCTCATAATTGCTCTGGGCATACTTCTATAAAGATTATATTTTTGTGCATGTGAATAGGACTGAACAATAAAGGCAAGGAAAAACTAGAATTGTTTTCCATGCTCACAGAAGAGAAGATAAATTTTATGACCATCAAAGGAATAAATTATAGTTGTAGGCACAAGGTAAAAAGGGTGGTAAACTCGTATCTGTGACAGCTTCAAAGAATCTCTGGGGGAAGACATTAAGGAGTGGGTGTTGAGTATTTAGTGATGTATTGGATGTTAAAAATGAGTCTAATTTAGAGAAACAAAAATCCTCCTGGACTGAGCTGAAGGCTGAGCTGCATGTAGTTGTGTGTATGTTGGAGAGAAAATAACAAAATAAATGTGTCTTTGCATTCATCTATCTTAGTGTCTGGTGTGTTTAGAGCATTGGCTATTGGGTTCTGAGTTGTGTGCCATCATCTCCACAACCTCTTCTGTCTCTAATCTTGTGACTTAGTGTGTTCTCAATGATTCTGTGTATCTGAATGGTTTTGAAAATACCTCTTCTTTGCCTCCCTCAGTGTAGTATTCTTCAAAGTCTGAAAGAGCTACTACAGAATTGGCTGTTATGGCTTTCTATGGACATCCACACGAAACTTACGAGCAGTCCTCTGTGAGTATCTTATAATTTTCTCTAAGAGTGAGATGTTTATATATGGAGTTTGGCGTGCGACTTTATTGCTTCATGTAAATGCTTAGTGGTACTTTCCTGGAAAATAAAATATTACTTTTTACTCTTCCCTACAATGTTGTGAGGTTTTAGTCTCCAGTGACTTGCAAGAGTTAGTATAGCAAAACATTGAAAAATTGATTCTAGAACTCTGAAGCTTTGATCTTGCCTTCAGTTTAACTGACATAATAAAATGTATTCTTATATGTGAAGTCAGTTTGATGATAGGAAAAGCTGTCATTTTACTGTACAGTTTTGTGTTTGTTTTTCTGATATATTTTGGTTATATAAATTAATTTATTTTCATGTTTATTTTACTTTTTTGGGTCACACCTGGTGATGCTCAGGGGTTCCTCCTGGCTCTGCACTCAGGAATCACTCCTGGTGGTGCTCGGGGGACCATATGGGATGCTGGGAATCAAACCCGGGCTGGCTACGTGCAAGGCAAACACACTGCCTGTTGTGCTATTACTATAGCCCCTATTTTCATTCTGAAATAAAGAAGTTCCAAGTATTTATTACATTGACAATTGCTAATTGTGTGCTTAAAGTTCTGACTGAGGGTCTGAAGAGCTGGTGCATGTGTTAAGGCACTTGCCTTACACATGTCTGATCACTGTTTCATCCCCAGAAACATATATAGTCCCTGGAACACCACCAGGAGTGATCCTGGAGCACAGGGCCAGGACTAAGCCCTGAGCACTGCCCCCACCCCCAAATGCACAAAATGAGCCTGAATTTTAAGGAACTGCTTTGTTTATTTATTTATGCTTTTTGGGTCATGCCCGGTAATGCACAGTGGTTACTCCTGACTCTGCACTCAGGAATTACTCCTGGTGGTGCTCAGGGAGCCATATGGGATGCTGGGAATCAAACCCGGGTTGGCTGCATGCAAGGCAAACGCCCTACCCGCTGTGCTATTGCTCCAGCCCCTTAAGGAACTGCTTTAAACAGGTTGTTTTTCTTTAAAGTTTTAGCCTTTTGTTTTCTGTTAGTCTCTATATACATGTAAAGTTATCAGCTTCCATGTATAAAATTAGGAAAAAAGATGATTTAATATCGTAAGAGTTCATGGTTTCTAAAGTGTTCTCTTTCTTGAGAACTTTAGATTTACAACACTTCATTAATAAACATCAATAGAAATGTTTTTAAATTCTGATGTCAAACAAGTTGTTTTGTTTTTGTTGAAATCTTTGGCTTCTCATCAGTTGAATTATATTTGTGCATTATTTTTAAAGTCTTTGTAACAGAAAATAGTGAAAATAATTCAAAGTAAAGAAAATAGGGACTGCTGCCCTCAGGAATCTGCATTCAGTTTCTGCAGTTACTAATTTTTGAGTAAGATTTTTATTTGTAACGGTCCTTTGTAAAATCTTAGCACTCCAAAGATTGTATGTTCGCAGGCTCACTAGACCACACTGTCTCACCGCCCGCGTTCAGTGCTCTTGAGCCTCTGTGCGTGGCCTGGATCAGGACGGCTGTTCGCCAAGGGCAGGCAAAGGAAGAAACTAGGGCCAGGCTGGTCGATATCAATTGTAGTTTATTCCAATCCTCTTTACTCCTGTCTCTCCTCTGCCTCCTTCTCTCCTGGGCCCCAATCTGGAACCCTTTCTCCTTCTGGCTCTGACTCTGGATCTCTGGAGCCCAAACTCTCTCACTTGGGCTTACTCCGAGCTTACATTCTGCTTACTCCGAGCTTACATTCTTAGTTTATATAGCAGTCACATAGGGTGGTGACACAAAGGTGGGTTGAACATGACAAATCAACAAGGAGAGGTAAGACCACTCTTCCAGGAGATTAACTCAAGGATAAAATCTCATCTAAAGAGTTTACTCCAGATTACTAGGAGATCCACTCAAGGTCGGGATCCTAACAAGGGTGTGTTCTTTCCTCAGCTAGTAATCTACTTAAATAGTTGTAGTAAATCTACTTCTAATATTTCTAGCAATGTCATTCTGTGTGAGCACAGTAAGAGATATAAACATCTCATTATACATTACGCAGTCCTCAGGCCAGGTTAGTCTTCATAGCCCCAGCAGGGTCCTAGTCTCCTTGTTATTTACTTTGGATCATGACAGCATTTGCCCATGACCATGCCCTCAACTTATAGTTGAGTATTGTGGCACTTTGGCCTGGCCCATTTCGATGCCAGTGTAGCTCACAGCTTTCCCAGGGTCCATACAGTCCCTCGTTGGGACCCTGCTTTTGGGATGCTAGGAACTTAGTGCAACTGAGTCAAGAAAGCAGATGCCCAGGAGTAAATATTATTTGGAGTCAATCAACTCCCATGTTACAAAGCATAATATTAACTGTCTTCCTGTGTCCATACAGAAAGGACATTGCTTACAATACAAGTTCAGTGTCTTTAAAAGGATCTGATCTTACAAGCTAACAGAATCTGATTAGGGAGAAAAGGTGATTAACTGGCTGGGGAGGAGAGCATAGAGAGTAGTTACAAATAAACAAAGAGTGGGAGTTACTCGGGAGCACTGGGATGGGTGTGACCTGATAAACCTAAGCTACCGAGGAAGGAAAAAACAGTGTTATCCTATAGTCCTTGATTCCCTCCTTCTATATTTGATTATATTTTTATTTCTTATTATATTTTTAAAGAAAAAAAACAAACGTTGTCTTTTAAAAAGTGATATCATGGGGCTTAGAAATAGTGTAGCAGGTAAGGCACTTGATTTGCTTGTATCTGACCCAAGTTCAATCCCTGAGACCATTCCCCAGAACCCTCCAGGAGTGATTCCTGAGTGTAGAGCCAAGAGCAAGCCCTGAGTATGCCAAGCGTGGACGAAAAACGAAAACAAAATGATACCAGTATGATACTTAGTTATGGCCCGCTCAGCCTTGCCAGGAGAGATCCCTGAGTACAGAGCCAAGAATCAAGCCCTAAGCACTACCAGGTGTGGCTAACCCCACACAAAAACCCACTTAATATTAATAGTACTTAATGTCTTCAAACATCTAATCAGTGTTTAATTTCTTACACTGTTAATTCACTTTCTATTTTGTTTTTTGGTTCACACCAGCAGTGCTCAGGGATCACTCCTGGCATTCCTTGGGGGACCATAAGAGGTGCTGGGGATCAAACCTAGGTTAGCCACATGTAAGGCAAGTGCTCTGCCTAAAGTGCTGTCTGTCTCTCCAGCCTGTCTTTTTTCTTTTTAAGAAAGTTTTTATCTTCAGTTCCAAATAGCTTGTGGTTAGCTGAGTTAACAATTAACCCAGGCTTATTTTTCATGTTCTTATCCACTGGGCAGTCTATTTTCATAGGAGAATGGCATATAGATACTTCTTGGAAATAGCCTGTACTATTTATCTAATTCTATCTAATTTTTCATATTTATTATTGCAATACCTCCATATGTTAAGCAGTATGCATTTTTAGAAGGAAATGCAGCACCATTGATTAGCAAAAGTGTCTCATAAGGACATACTGCTCAAAGGGTAGGCTTTAAGCAAGCAGTATCAGCATCATCTGGGAACTTGTTAGATGTGAAACTTCAGGCTCTTTCTAAAACTACTAAAATAAACTCAGTGGGTTCTATTAATCTGTGTTTAAACAAGTGCTTCTGTAATTTTGGTGCAAGCTAAAGTTTGAGAGCCACTATTGTACAAAAATTCCATTTAAATGCTTAACCACTTGCACCCCTTCCACCCCAGTTCTCTTTAAGAGTAGTTTAAGGGCCAGAGCAATAGTACAGCAGGTGGGGGTTGCCTTGTAAGTGGCCAACCCAGACTTGACCCCTGACATCCCGTATGGTCTCCCTGGCACTACCAGGAGTAAGTCCTGTGTGTGGAACCTGGAGTGACCTGTGAGCACTACCAGGTGTGGCCCAAAAACAAACCAAAAAGTATAGTATGTATATATCTATTATCTTTAGCCGTCTTGGAATGAATCTAAGTCTAGACTCTCTTGTTTCACGTTCCTTACAATTTCTGTATTTTATTTCGGAAAAGTCTGGGATCTTCTTTATTAGAGTCATAAATTTTGGAAGAACATTCAACAGGGAGCTGTAATATCTAAAATTATTTTGTTGTGCTAGGAATAGAGACTTCATATGTGCAAAAGACAAGTCTGTCCTTTAGTTATTTTTTATTCGGGTTTTGAGCCACACCTTTCGTGCTCCGGGCTTACTCCTCACTCTGTATTCAGTGATCACTCCTGGCAGTGTTCAGAGGACCATATGGAGTACTGGGGATTAACTGTGTGAAAGGCAAGTGTTCTGCCTGCTGTATTATATAAAGTTAAAAGAGGTAAATGGGCACAAATGTAGGTAACTTTGACTGTCATAATTTATTCGTCTATTTTGGGTCTTTTCGGGGGAGTAGCCACACATGGCAGTATTTGGGAGCTGCTCTCAAGTCTGCTTGGGAGTCATCCCTGGGGATGCTTGAAGGACCATACAGTGCTGGGTATCAAACCTGGGCCTCCTGTGTGCAGAGCATGTGCTCAGCCATTGAGCTGTCTCTTTATCCCGATTTGGCATTGTTTAATGTAGATTTTCAGTTCTCAATATTTCTTACTGTTTTGTAGCACAGAACTTAATGCCATGTTCCCGTCTTTCAAAAAATGCCCTGTGACTTTCAGAAGGGGTGCAGATTATTGTGTATGCTGGGAATCCATTCTGAGCACTGGTTTCCCAGGAGGTATTTTGATTGGCATGATAACTAGGAAAAGAGTGCTGCTATTATTTAGTAGGAGGGAGTCAGAGGTGCAAAATGGACTACTGGGAGCCGGAGGAGTAGGGTGTAGTCCTGAACAGTGGATTGTTCCATCCAAAATGTCAGTAGTATCCTGTGGAGAAACACTTTAAAATAAGCTATTGCTAACAGCCACCTTATTTCACATTGTTAAGCTCTGCTAAAAATTGTACTTAAAATGGAGTTTTGGCAATAACTGTCTAACTATTCAGATACCTGCCTATTTGAATGGTCTT